CCCCCCGGGGGCTCGCCTCCGGGCCTGGGGTGCTTGCTGTGCCCCCAGTACCCTGGGTGTCCTGTGGTCTAGGGTACTACTTTTGCCCCCTTCTCTGTGGCCTACTGCTCCCCCCAACCCCTATCTGGGCCTGTGGTGCTTCCCTTGTCTCTTCTCCTTCCTTCTCCCACCTCTGCTTTGTGGGACCAGCTTGCCTGGGGCTGGCTGGTTCTCCTCCCCCTTACCCCTTCTTCTTGCTTCCTTGGCTGCCTGTCCCTCAAGCTCTCGCTACCAGGGCAATATTTCAGCTGTACTGATTCTAGTTGTGTTGAAGTGTTCAACACCTTAGTGTTGAAGGTGGTGCTACAATGTCATAATTCAAAACCCTCTGCAGACTGGGGGTCTGGGACTCTGTTTGTGTCTGTATGATCAGCGCTGCTCACTTGGGTTTCTCTCTGCCTTGTTTATGAATGCTATTCTAGTTGCCGCAGCAGTCTGTTAGTTAACCTAGTGAGCTGTACGTGATGAATATAATGCAGATGCTTAGTATTCAAGTAAAAGGTGTATAGGTGCTATACTGGTACTCCCTACCGAGTAATAGGGTCCAACTTCAGTAGCTGACTTCTGTCATCCTAATTATACAACTTTATCTTTTTCTGTGCATTTCAGGCTATTCTCATTTTCTGCTGGGTTTATGTGCGCAAGTATCAGAGTCGACGGGAAAGCGAAGTAATTTCTACCATAACAGCTATTTTTGCATTGGCAGTTGCTCTTATCTCATCAGCACTACTACCAGTGGACATCTTCTTGGTTTCCTATATGAAAAACCAAAATGGTACATTTAAGGTACTGACTTATTTTAAAATATAACTACTTGAGAAAAGTGATCATCCTCGTGTTGAAAGAGGACTTACCTTACTTTACCTTAGGTCATCAAAGTGTTTAAAATCTATGCTAATACCTGTTTTATTGCTTGAGACTTTTAGGAGATGTTTGGTACTAGCCCTACAAATACATGAGTGTGCTTTGTTTACTTGAAATGGTTTTCAGCTTGCATTCTTGTGTTTTTTCCTGTCTGACTTTCCACATTCTAGCAGCCTTCAAATACTTCTACTCTGTATTGTGCTAAAATGAGTGCTTATTACCATCCTTAGACTGTAAATCCAACTTCTAGATATTGTTCCTTAATATGCCATAGCAGAGCAGTTTAGAACACAATTTAGTGTCATTATTTAAAAAGAGACTGGATTGCCTATTTGCTATTTAAGGTTTTCAGTTGTCCTTTTTTTGCCAGTGTTCTTTTATTCTGGTACTGAAACACTGACATGGTAAATCTGTATTGGTCTAAATCTGCCTGTAATGCAGAAACAGAGATAACCAATGGGTGTGCACTTACTTTAAGCAGGGAGAGCCAGAAAGCCCCTTAAGGGATGGAAAATGTAGTAACCTTTTTTCTTGACTGAAATTGCCTTAACTGAACTACTGTTTTTATAAACTGGGGGCTTGCTGTCCAAACTATTCTATCTAATACGGTGTTTCAAGGTTGTCATGAACCATTACAATGATGCATCATCACAACATGGTAGTAATTATTCAGGAAACTTCTTATTGCAGTAGGCTTTAAACAAATCCCAGATGCATATGTAAGTCTTCCAGCATCTGTTATAGGGAGTGACATAAAGTATCTTCTAGCTTTGCTGGAAGTGGCTTTTTTAGTCTTTAGGCATATGGTCATAGCTCGAAGAAACTTTTGCAGGGAGATTATTTGATACTGCTACTTAACTGTCCCCTTTGGAGTCAATGTGGTTTGCTGAAGTATTGAGTAGAGCTGAGGGGATTGAAATGCTAGCAGCTGTAGTCCCTTTTATTATACAGTTTTGACTTACTGGAGGTAAATATACCTCTTATATTACAGAGTAGCAATTCTTATTCTCCATGTTTTGCCCACATATGGTTCTGTGTTATTTGACTAGATACCTAGTGTTCTAGACATTAATATCCTCAGACACTTGGTCACTGCAATTAAAAATGGGCCACTCAAACTGGAGCATAACACCTTAGCAATGAATTACTGTACCTCCCCTCTCCTTGAACATACAGAAACAGCTTAGTGTTTTATTTTTCTGTTTAAGTATTTTTACTGATAGTATTTTTTTTAGAAGAGCATATGTCTAAATTCTTGAAATACTGCTTGAACTTGGAGCTTAGTTTGGTGTGGATCCTAGCTAGACCTGCAGCAAAATGGACAGCTGGGGCGTCATGCTAGTGAGGTGGCTTCTAGCACTTAAGGTTTAGTGAATTGGAAGAATGGAGGATTAGTTCAGTAGGTCTGTGCAGGTTGCTCTTGATTCTTGGAGATGCATGTAGTGGCTACACACTTTTTAGTGCAGAAATGCAACTCGTACATTTCTCAAGTGAGCTGCAAGGAAAAGTGAAAAATTTGAGGAATATTGAGAGGATGAGCAATTTACTGGTGTTCTCGGAATAAGCTGATGTAACAGGTAGCCCTTTCACAGAAACATAGAGCCTGTGTTTGAGTCTGATGCTTATGGATTCCATGCCCTGTTAGAATAGAGGGGAGAATAAGTCAAGTGAGGAAATGATCCTGAAACAAATGAATGGTCAGCAGAAATTGCAGAAAATTGTTCTTCTGTTTGTGGATCACCTCATTGAGTTTCTAGCTTTACAACAATAATGAGGTCTTCCTGGTTATTAATACACTTGATACCAGCTGGAGTGCTGAAAGCATGGAATAGAAATATTAACCTGGCCTTCCTGGTGAAGTTGTGTGATCTGAGGTTGGTCAGGACCAAACAGACCTACAAGTAAACAGAGGTTTGATTCTGTATCTTCAATTTAAAGGCAGGAAGATGTTAGCATCTTGATGCAAGTTTGTAATGAACTCTTAAAGCTCTTGGGCGTGTTCTATATAGTGTTTGTTTCCTTTTTCCTATTGCTTCGTAAGTAGGACAGCCTAGGTTATGCTCAGAATACCTTCCTTTCTATCCACTGCCTCTAAAGGGCTCCCCCTGGTTTTCAGACCTACTGAAGGCCCATGAGTCTGGCAAGAATCCATTGTTTTGGAAGGCCAGAGTTGACTAAGTGTTCACTAGATTACTTACCTTGTTCTTGGGAAATGTTTGAGACAGATTCAGATAGTAAATGTAGCAGTCTTGTACTGTAGTTCTGTAGTATTTAGAAAAGGAAAGCAGTGATCCGGGGCTGTGACAGACTTGGTAGTTCCTGTGTGCAATGGAATTCACTGTAACAATACCTCGCCTGGAAGCTGGGATTACTTTGATTTACATGTGCTCGTAGGGCTGTTAAGCAGAACAAGTATTTGGTGCTAGTACCTTTCAAAGGAAATCTTATATTTGTTCATGCGCTTGAAAGTCTTGATCGTATTCAACAACACTTCTTCCTGAAGAGTTCTGCTGTTTTCTGTTGACAGTAGTTTAGTTTGTGCAATGAACTTTAAATGCTTACAGTTGGAGGTGAGCTGCTGCTTCATCTGAAAGCTTGTATGAGTTGAGATAACAAGCACTCATCAATAGAATATCCCACTCTGGTTTAAATTGAGATTGCTTCAGGAGTATAAGACCTCATGGTCTCTGACCTACAAACCTCATAAATAATTAAAACAATTGATTCTGCTTTGCAGCAGGAAGATAAATTTGAAATAAGAAAGTTTCATAGCTACATTCTCCTCTCTGCTCCGTTGTTGAGGCTGTAGAAGGCAGTGGGGAGAGGGCGAAACTTTTCGTTTTGAAATGTATGGATTTTGCTACTATGAGGTTAAGCCAGTGATAAACTTATTGTAGTCTGGGTTAGATTGAACACTCCAAGAAACTGGATACATGCCTGATCACTGTTCACTCCTAGCAGAAGGAAGCTGTCAGAATCCAGTAGTATTCTTAAATAGATGATACTCATTGAATCATAAATGGGAGATTAGTTTTGCAGACAATTTTTCTAAGATTTTTTGCTTCTTGGGGGAACTTATTGTGTAGTTGCTCAAAAAAGACTACAGGAAGTGTCTTTGTCTAGAAAGAAGCCCAGAAACCCTTAAACTGGAACTGTGCTTTCTAGTTTGACTAGAAATTACATGTGACATGGCAACACTTGGTCAAAATATTCCTAGTGACTTATCTGTGATACTCTGTTCATGTTATTGGAGGAAGCAAGTGTTTGTCTTCCATAGATATAACTAAAATGAAGCTTCTCGTCAGAACTGGGTCCTTATTAACAGATAATGACAAAAGTCTCTTGAATGACTTTAAAGCATGCTTGTCTTAAGGTTTGTAGAGGGTTGTAGTGCTTCTCCTGGCTAAGAATGTAGCAGAGTGGGTAAAATAAGGGTTTGGATATATGTGCCTAGCAGAAGCTTTTCTGTTTTTTAGCTTTTTTAGGTAAACTGGAGCTGTCTTCAGCTCTGTTTACCTCAGTGCTGTAGCAACGTTGTACTAATTTGTTTGCTTTTAACACTTGTAACTGCGTTTGAATTTTGTGAAGGTTTTAACCTCTTGCGTTAAGGAACTAACACTAATAGTTTAGACCACTGTTCGCGTTACACATCCTTGAAATATATTGTTGATCCCATACCTGTCAATACAATATACTTTCAGGTATTCTAAAGGTAATATGGTGCACATTTACTAAACTGGAGCAGCTTACACTGGTAGAACTTGACAGTAAAGGTTTCACTGACCAAAGTATTCAAAGAAGTTATTAGAATGAAATACAGCAGGAAAGTGCAGAAGTCATTTGAGTTCTGAGTCTGTATTTTACGAGTACAGTTCTACTTAATGTACTTGTTCAGTAAACTGATATGCTGTCACAATTCTACATTCTACTTTTGTTTCCTGTTGTAAATATCATTAATTTTTTGGGATGTTAGTTACAGAAGCAGGACTTGTTTGGCAGTTAAGCCCTATTATGTCTTAATTATGAGCTACCTCTGTCTCCAAGTGACTGCCACTTTAACTTTAAGCTTTGGGTCTTGCTGTTGCTTTTCTCTTCTGGTGTGGGTTTTGAATGTTGCCGTTGCTCGTGGGAAAGACTCTAATATTTATGGAGGTAACTTCTGTCCTTTCTGCTAAAATCTTTCGTCCTTTAAGTCCTGAAGCTCATCCTTTCTTTTTGGTGTTCAGAGACAAAAATGCATTTATAACTTTCCTCAAAAAATACCAATTGGATTGTGTCATTTAACTTATTTGAGATAAACTTTAAAAGCTTCATTTAATGTGACTTACTAGTAACCTTGTTTGTTGTATAGTGTGAAGGAAAATGGTACCAATCTAAGAAAATAGAAAAATGTTAGCCATCATCTGAAGTGAAGTATTTGGTGTATCATCAAGCCCATATTGCATAGGAGATTAGCTCTCTCCTGAGAGAACTGGACTGAAACTTCTTAGAGGAAGTAATCCTGTGCAGTCTTAAAGAGTTTGCTCATTTGTGTATTATGTAATGTAGTGCATGCATCTCTACAACAGTAGAGGTAGGGGGAAGAGTATAGGGGCAAGAACCTCCGCCTTCTTGCTGCATTTCATTACCAGTGCAAATAAAATTGTATTTCACTTGTTCTTCTGTAGTGTTACAATTTGGCAGAAGTGGAAAGGATAGTTTAGTGTTATATCTTTTTGTGTTTTTTTGAGTGATCCTTTAGTTAAATACACTAGTAGTGGTAACTGAGATACAATACTGTTAAGTTCTCAGTCATATTAAACAGGAACTAAGCACTAGAAATGGGGGTTTATACACTATCAATATCTAGACTTTTATGTTTATAAACAGCTATTTATAAATTGTCAATTTTTTCAATGTAAAGTCCTAGCAGAGCGTATTGTACTTGTCAAACTTGATTCTGGCACTTCCCATTCAGTCACAATCAGAAAACACTGATCTTGGATATCTGACTTCTGGCATGAGTTTGCAAACTCTAGCTTGTGTGACCCTATTTCTACAACTGCAATTCAGTTAAGCAGATGCTAACCTCAACTGATATTTTGGAGCTGCAATTTTAGCAATTCCGAGTATCAGCTTTCCTGATATAAAACTACTTGTGTTTGGGTATTGACTTAAAATGAGTGGGTCACTGACTTCACTGGGTACTTCCATTAATGCTTTTACATGCATATTCTGGAGACTTGCAAAAGAGGCTTCTTTGAACTTCTTTATTTTGTTGTTTTAAGAATGGTTTCCTGATAAACTGTAGTTTTCTGGCTGCTGACACTAATGCTTGAAGCAACTGTCTCACTTAAATTGCAATATCTAGAGAGAAGAGGTGGGCTGCTCCCTTGATCAACTCTGGCTGGGAGAGGCTTTCAGCATGATGTAGACAAGCCTCTAAAATTGTCCAAGCTGCACCACATCCAACTGCAGGACTGGGCAGTTCAAGCTGCTTAGTTGTAGGCAATCTCTTTGCTAATGAACAACTATGCTTCAAGGTTTGTGTGGGTTTTTTGTTCTTTTTTTAAATAAAAGCCATCCTGAGGACAGGGATGTTCCTGAAAGAGCTTAGCATGGAAATTCAGTGTCAGTAGTAATCCAAGAGCCCAGAAAGAAGGGCTAGACCTGAGTAACCACACCTCTACTCTTCATTTTAGGAAGATACTTTGAAAAACAGCTTAGACAGCTGCAGGCTTTGATGTAGGCGCATTGTCTGGTATGTTGAAAATAAAAAAAATCAGAGTTTAATAGAAATGGATGTGTAGATTGCCACTTAATATTTAAGTATAAAATTAAGGTAAATGTACTGAATTGGCAGCTGCTAAAAACGTTCACTAACTTTGTTTCAATTTTATTTGAAAACACAGTGCATGGTAAGTAATAAAAATTGTGGACTCTTAATCTGTAGAAAAATAGAGCTTTGAAGGAGGCTAATGGCAAAAATGAATGTAGACAGTTGGGAGATTGAAATGTTTCTCCTCTAAAGTGTAGTGCATTCATTAATCATATTTGTTATGTGAATTAGCTCTTTAAGTTCCAAGGTTTAAAGTGAATGATTTAGTGCCCACTACTTTTCTTAAGGATGCTGTTGAAGTGTTCTTTTAATTATGATATTAAATGCTTCTATCCTTTATTGTTAGGACTGGGCTGATGCTAATGTTTCAAGACAAATTGAAGACACTGTACTTTATGGATATTACAGTAAGTATTTAACTTTTAATTTTTCAATTAATAGAAACTATAATACTTTTAAGCAAAGGCAATGAGTCATAAAGCTTTTGGGTGTCATACTGGATTACTCCTTTTCTTAGCTAAACGTTAGTCTTACACTTGGTCCCCTTCAATGAAGTTTTTACATTGTTTTTTTTAAACAGGGCTCTTAAAATACATTGAAGGCCGTTATATGACCAAAGCCATTAGCCTTTTCCTGTATTCATCTGAACATGAATCCTGTGTATGTGTATTGACAGATCCCATGGGGAGAACTTTTGGTTCTGATGTTTTTATGGCTGTTAACATGCAGCATTGTCACAGCTTTTTGCATTGAAGGCAACGTGAAACTTGCCTACCATATGTAAAGTTGGCGCAAGTATTCCTGCAACACTTCTGTTAGTAGCCGAAGCTGAATACTCTAGTATATTCAAACTAAGAGCTACTGTAAATGAGCTTAATGGAGCTGATCCCAGGATAAGTTAGGTCAAATCTAGTAAGAGATACCGAACTTCTGTATAGTTCTAGATCCATCTTTTAAAGTTGTCCTATAAATACAATCCATTATTAATGGAGTTATTTAAGAGGTAGTTATGGAAAATACAGTTTAGCCAACTGTCTCAGTCAATGCTACAAATTCAAAACAGGTTATCTGCTTTTGGTTCTGTTTTCTAAGAGTTGAAGCTTTTCTCCTTAAAGATTTCTAGCTCTTCTGAATATTTTTTCAGATCAGGAAATACTTAGTTTCAAGTAGTGGGCTCTTTTGTGCTGAGTTGCAAAGTGCTTGTTATCTGACAGTGATATTCAAAAAAATAAATGTGTGGC